AGTATGCCTAACGACACGGTTTACACGAGCGCTCCCATCATCAGGTCATCATCAGCCAAGACAATCAGAACAGTATCTCTTCGCATTTTCCCCTTGACCAGGACGGTGTCACCACGGAACAGCTGGAGTGTTTCCATGGTGTTGTTGGAAAGCGCAATGATTGAGTTGTCATCGTTAACAGCATCAGTAACACTGCAGGCCACAACAAATCAGCGTGACTTTCTTTTTTTCTGATGGCTTATTCTAAAGACACTCACAGTAAGGTGTTTGGCTTTTTCTTCTTTTTTAGAATGGCTGTGGATGTGTCAAGCTCCTGGAGGGGAGACGGTTAGCGCCACTAACAATCAGAAAGTAGCAACAGCTCGAGAAAAGGCTAACCTCATGTTTTTCTGCACCCGAGGGGTCGCTGGAAGAGAACATTAGCATTTATCGTACTCATAGAGGACGTAGTAGTAGACAGAGACGTAGCCCAGGTACTCACGTCAAGTTGACCTTGTGCTTAGCGTGATCAGGTTCTGCAGACATGTTGGAATGGCACGAGGGAAAACAGACGGATGAAAGTGAAAGTTTCCGACAAGGAAATTAGAAGATAGAATGATTAGGCGATAAGGGAGAAGAAGTAGGTGGTTGTTGTTGAGATTGTGGTATTGGTGTCGGAGACGGAGAAAGATGGTTTTGAGCGAGATGATGAGATGAGGTTCAGCTAGAGCTATGAGGAAACTCGGAAGAAAGATGTCGCCGGGAAAACCACGTCAAACGCAAACACAACAACACATACGATGGTCTACTTTTCCTGTGGAGTATTAAGTGAAGGAAGGAATGAAGCTACAACAACAGATGAACAGAGAGCACAGAAAACAGAAAAACAACTGTGTCCTGGAGAGCTGTTGGTCGGCTTAGTCATGGGCGAACAGTTCAAGGCTGCCTCCAGGAAAAGTAGGGTCCAGCCAATCAGAGGCCGTCATTGGGGGTGGAAGCGGGTGGAAGACGCTAGAGCCAACATGGAAGTCACGTGGATAATTACAAATCAGCACACGACATCGTGGAAGCCTGGCCGGCATTGATATCTGACATACGGACATCAAGACATTGGCAATGCAGGACAAGCTGATACGCGGGAATGTCTAAGTTTCCTATCAAACCGGTGTACGCACATGTGAAATGTTCACTAACGCTTTGTTGGCTCTAATGTTTGCGCCTGCTTTGAGCAATCCCTCTACTCCGTCTCACAGGAGTATATCCAAAGATTGATGCAACGTATATTTTTGATATGGACTCATTTGGACACGTG